AGAGCAAAAAGAACAAAAGTTTTCATGCAGTTTATGCAGTTTCTTTAAATTATGGTAAAGAAAAGAGGGCAGGGCAGTTGAGATCTCAGCCTAACTTAACAGCAAAGAGCATAGCATCAAAGTGGGGAGCTGATCTGTTACAGAGAGCTCTGGAGATTAGATATAATGATGTTGAGATGTGGGCTGAACAGGAACAGGTAATAGTGATGTATCTCCACCAACTCTTATTTTACCTGTGACACAGAATACCAGCAGTTAGGTATGTATCCCTGGACCCCAAACAAGCAAATAACCATTTGGCCAAATTAAAAATAGAACAACATAAAAAAATGTTTTCCAATATTGGAAAATATTGGCAGTTAACTGAGAATTCTAAGGTTCGCATTGACCCTTTCTCTTTTTGGTGTTGAAACGTCACCAGCACAATGGGAGATTCCCTTCTCATTTGTCCTAAAGCGAAGCTGGCTATTTCATAAATTCTGCCCATGTACACAAGGCTCCCTGTTATATTTTTAGAATTATATTCTGTTCTTATATATGAATGAAAAAGCACAAATCCCAAAATTTCTGTAGAAAAATAAGACAAAAGACTAATAAAAATATACAGAAAAATCACCCATGGAGAAGAAATAGTCAAAGATGATAAGAGAATGAAATTAAATGAACAAAACAAAACAGGAGGAGAAAAAAGTATTCTACTAAATATGACAGCAGTAAACATAAGATAAAATACGTATGTATGTACATATAATAATTTGCTTAGTGAAATAGGTACAAGAAAGAACATTAAAATGTTAAATATATATTGAGAAATCAAAAGCAAAATACTTGAAAGTAATTAAAAAGATAAATATAGAAACAAATGGTATAAAATGAAAATCCTTGTCCCTCATGTCTGGGAGTGAGGGAAGGGCAGAAACTTTCTTATTCATGGGAACTAGGAATTTGGGTTAAATGAAAAAGTAAATCATCTGATCTTTCTAAAAACTTCAGACATATAAAAATATATTTATTCTGCTGTATTTTGTTATAGGGCCATGTTACTCCTCTGTATTTTGAGGGCAAATATTTATCACTTTTCCTTTATAAAACATACCGGTAGCATACTTTTTGAAATTTTCATTTTCAGTTTTTTAAAGTGAAGTGAGAATTTAGAGACTGTTGTAAAAATACACTAAATGCAGCATATTTTTAACATTTCTGATCCTTTGTAATTGTGTCACCCACGTCTATTCACCAGCAAGTATTTTTAGTGCATTAGCTTTTTCAAGGCTTTTAAAATATCTTTAGCTTTCATAAATACAATAGCGTTTTTCATTCATGTTCAGTATATTTTACAAAGAAAAGAAACAGCAAATGAGTCAAAACAAATGCTATTTAAAACAGTGTCTAATATTCAAACTTATTTATGTCATTATATATTTGTCCATGTACATATTTTAGTAAAGTTAATGCAATATTTCAAAGAAAAAAAAAACTGAGCCTGATGGTATGCTTTTATCTTATGCTACATGGAAAAAATTGATTTCCCTTTACTTGCTTGTGACAATGATTTTATTCTTTCACTTTATTTTCTTAGTATTGTTTATCTTATTATTTTTAAATACTTGGTCCGATTTCTGAAGAGCAGATTATCTACAAAGCTTAGATGTCTAAGGCAATTATTTAATAAATTTCAGGAACAATAAAGATTTTGAAGAACCTATATAAAGGTGTACTATATATACATGTATATATAGTACATATATATGTATCTCACTATATATATGTATTTATATATATCACTATATAAAGACAATCTGAGATGAATCAGCCTAATTTCATTTTCTTTTACTTAAAATTTAGAAGATTTGGTAATTGTGTTTATCACAGATCCTGTGATATGTGGGCAGAGTTATATGCCTTCTTAAATTACTTTTTTTTCCACTAAGTAATCAGTCAGTAAAATTGTTGCTTAATTTTTCACTATTCTTTCCCTCATGTGAAGTTTGATGATTTATTTTCATATAAAAATGTATTCTTTCTAATAATCTGAACATATCTACCTTATCATGAGTAAGAACATGATGTGACAGTATAATAATTAAGAATGCTGGACATCTGTAATCCCAGGACGTTGGGCAGGAGCATTGATCCAAGTCCAGGAGTTTGAGGCCAGACTGGGCAATGTAGTGAGACTCTGTCTGTACAATTAATAATAATAATAGTAATAATAATAATAAAATAACCAGGCATGATGGCATATGCCTATAGTCCCACCTACTCAGAGGATTACTTGTGCCTAAGAGTCTGTGTCTGCAATGAGCCATGATTGTACCCCTGCACTCTAGCCTGGGTGACAAAGTGAGACCCTTTGTGTTAAAAAAACTAAAAAGAATTTCTTTAAGCCATATAATATGTTTCAGGTAACACTAAAGTTTGATATAAATACCTAGCCTTACTATAGATTATCATCAGAAAATAATATCAATTCATTATCTTGTATCAGTGTGGATATTGAATGGATATCAAATGGCTAAAGATCAAAGGAACCGAACAATAGTAATGTAACCTATTATTATAGTAAGTAAATTATTTCTCACAGAGATATGATTTAGAAATTCTAAAACAACTGTTTTTCTATACTATGGTTGAACAAATAAGAACTATGTTGTAGGTCATTTGAGCTAGGTTTCTTGATGAGATAGAAGAAAGTTACTGCACACACAATCTTCTGATGGATGGTAATACTATTGAGAAAAGTTTAAGCAGAACTAGAACATGTGAATTATCTTAAAGTATCTTCTCCCAAATATTTAGCAAAATTACAAAGGGAAAAATGACAATTTCACCAGCGTGAATGAACTTTACTTGGATGACCAAGGCCACCATGTCTAGCATTACCTGTAAATATTAAATACCTCCTGACCAAGGAGGGCACAGCACTTCAGTTTTACTTTTCCCAGTAGTGAACACCTCCATTTTAATCTTTAGATTAAAACTACAACCCCAAATTTAGAGACATTTTATGTAAAATTAATGACAAGTGTTCTTCAATAGTGCAGAGGTCATAAAAGACAGAAGAAGACTGAGTTATGATCACAGAATGAAGGAAACAAGTAGGACAATAAATGTGATGTAGCATACCAGACTGGATCCTCAAACAGCAAAATGATAGTGGAAAGAACTAGCTGAATCCAAACAAGCTCTGCATTGTAGTTAAGAGTATCATGATTTAATTTATTTTAATCATGAAGTTAATTTCTTAATTTTGATAAATCTCCTATGGTTATATAATATTTTAACAGAAGAAAAAGCTGAGTAAATTGTATATAAAAATTCTGAGCCATTTTTACAAGTAAGATATAAATATAAAATTATCACACACCTATACGTACTAAACATTGGGAGTGTTCTGTATGAAATTGTAGCTGTAGCCATACATCTTTATAACTTAGTCAAAAGCCATATAATTATCCACTAAAATATCTGAATTTTACTGTACATAGTATTTTTCAACAAATCAACTAGGGCATAGGGGTACAGACTGATTTCAGGCTATGACAGGTGAATTTCACTATTGTATAAATGTATTACATATACATGCTGAAGGGGATAGAGGATACAAATGTTTGGTAGAAACTGACACTAAGACTATATAACCCTTGACTTTTTCTTTTACAGAAAACTTAGAAACTAGAAAGTCAATTTATTTAATAGAGTTATTAAAATTATATGTATCATTTTGAGTCAGTTTTTGGATCCAAAACTTCCTTTGTAATTATTATGTTTTGTAATTATTATAGTTGGATCTATGACTTTGTGTCTGTAATTAGATTTTAAAAATTCTTGGACATGACTATTAATACTTCAAATATTTTTCATCAATGATCTCTATTTTTTTCTCTCTGATGTTCCAGTTACATGCATGCTATACCTTTTGAAATTGTCGCACAGTTCTTGGGTACTATTATTATTTTGTTGTTGTTGTTTGCATTTCAGTTTAGAAAGTTTCTATTTACATGTCATCATGCTCCCTAATTATTCTCTCAGCTTTGTCCAGTGTTTTAGTTCATTTTATGCAGCTACTACAGAATACCATCAACTGGATAATTTATAAAGAAAATAAATTTATGTCACATAGTCCTGAAGGCTAGGAATTCTAAAAGCAGGATGTGGACATCTGGGGAGAGTCTTTTTGCTACATTGTGTTATGGTGGAGGGCAAATATACACACAGAGAGAAAGAAGGGTGAACTTCATTTTAAAACAGTTTGTTGTCAGGGAAACTAAAAAATCCCCACAATAATGACATTAATCTCTTCACTTCACAAGAGCACAGCCCTTAGAATCCAGACACTTGTAAAGGCCATGCTTTTTTTTTTTTTTTTTTTGTAAAGGATCATCCTCTAAATTTTATTTTAAGTTCTGGAATACATGTGTAGGTTATGTAGGTTTGTTACATAAGTAAACATGTGCCATAGTGGTTTGCTGCACCTGTCAATCAATGACCTAGGTATTAAGCACCACATGCATTAGCTATTTATCCTGATCCTCTCCCATCCCCCAACCCCTCGCAGCTTCCAGGATGCATTATTCCTTTCCTTGTGTCCCTGTGTTCTCATTGGTTAGCCCCTACTTATAAGTGAGAATATGTAGTGTTAGGTTTCTTGTTTCTGTGTTAATTTGCTGAGGATAATGACTTCCAGCTCTATTCATATCCCAGCAAAGGACATTATCCCATTTCTTTTAATGGCTGCATAGTATTCCATGTTGTATATGAACCACATTTTCTCCATCTAGTCTATCATTGACGGGCGTTTGGGTTGATTCAATGTCTTCACTATTGTGAATAGTCCTGCAATGTACATACATATGCATATGTTTTTATAATACAATGATTTATGTTTCTTTGTAACATAATACCCAGTAACGGGATTGCTGGGTCAAGTGGTATTTCTGCCTCAAGGTCTTTGAGGAATCACCACATTGTTTACCAAGATTGTTGAACTAATTTGCTCTCCAATCAACAGTGTAAAATTGTCCCTATTTCTCTAAAGCCTTACCAGCCTCTGTTGTTTCTTGACTTTGTAATAATTGCCATTCTGAGTGGCGTGAGATGATACCTTATTGTGGTTTTGATTTGCATTTCACTCTTTATAAGCGATGTTGAGCTTTTTTTCATGTATTTCTTGGCTGCATAAATGCCTTCTTTGAGAAGTGTCTGTTCATGTACTTTGCTCACTTTTTAAAATTTTTGAGATGGATTCTTGCTACTCTCACCCAGGCTGGAGTGCAGTGGCACAATCTCAGCTCACTGCAACATTCACCACTCGGGTTCAAGCAATTCTCCTGCCTCAGTCTCCCAAGTAGCTGGGACCACAGGCACATACCACCATGAGGTTTAAAGTGATTCTCCTGCCTCAGCCTCCCAGGTAGCTGGGACTATAGGTGCACACCACCATGCCTGGATAATTTTTGTACTTTTATTAGAGATGGGGTTTCACCATATTGATCAGGCTGGTCTTGAACTCCTGACCTCATGAAATGCCTGCTTTGGCCTCCCAAAGTGCTAGGATTATAGGCGTGAGCCACCATGCCCGACTTTGCCCACTTTTTAATGGGGTTGGTTTTTTCTTGTAAATTTGTTTAAGTTTTTTGTAGATTCTAGCTATTAGATCATTGATAGATGGATAGATGGCAAGAATTTTCTTCCATTCTGTAGGTTGTCTATTCATTCTAATAATAGTTTATTTTGCTGTGCAGAAGCACTTTAGTTTAATTAGATTCCATTTGTTATTTTTTGCTTTTGTTTTATTGTTTTTGGTGTTTTCATCATGAAATTTTTGCCCATGCCTATGTCCTGAATGTTATTGCCTAGATTTTCTTCTAGGGTTTTTATAGTTTTTGGTTTTACATTGAAAGCTTTAATTCAACTTATACCTTTTTGTACAAGGTATAAGAAAGGGGTGCAGTTTCAATTTTTCACTTATGATTAGCCAGTTTTCTCACCACCATTTATTAAATAGGGAATCCTTTCTCCATTGCTTGTTTTTGTCAGGTTTGTCAAGGATTAGATGATTATAGATGTGCAGTCTTATTTCTGATATCTCTATTCTGTTCCATTGGTCTATGTTTCTGTTTTTGTACCAGGACCATGCTGTTTTGGTCTCTTTGTAGGTTTCTAAGAATCAGGGTGCTCCTGTATTGGATGCATATCTATTTAGGATAGTTAGCTCTTCTTATTGATCTCTTTACTGTTATGTAATATCCTTCTTTGTCTTTTTTGATCTTTGTTTGTTTAAAGTCTGTTTTGTCAGAAACTTGGATTGCAGCCCCTGTTAATTTCTGCTTTCCATTTGCTTAGTACATTTTTCTCCATCCTTTTATTTTGAGCCTCTGTATGTCTTTGCATGACAGATGGGTCTCTTCAATACAGCACACACATGGGCCTTGACTGTTTATCCAGCTTGCCATTCTGTCTCTTTTAATTGCGACATTTATTCCATTTACATTTAAAATTAATATAGCCATGTGTGAATTTGATTCTGTCACCATGATGTTAGCTGATTATTTTGCAGACTTGTTCATGTAGCTGCTTCATAGTGTTCTTGTTCTGTGTACTTCAGTGTGTTTTTTCAGTGGCTAATAATGGCTTTTCTTGTCCACATTTAGTGTTTTCTTCAGAAGCTCTTACAAGGCAAACCTAGTGGTCACAGATTCCCTCAGCATTTGCTTGTCTGAAAAGGATTTTATTTCTCCTTTTCTTATAAAGTTTAGTTTGGCTGAATGTGAAATTCTGGGTTGGAATTTTTTTTTTTTAATAATGTTGATATTAACTCCCAATCTCTTCTGACTTATAGTGGTTTCCTCTGAGAGGTCTGCTGTTAGTCTGATGAGGGCTTCTTTTTGTAGGTGACCCTATCTTTCTCTCTGGCTCCCCTTAATTTTTTTTCTTCTTTTCAACTTTGGAGAATCTGATGATTATATGTCTTGGGGTTAATATTCTCATGGAGTATCTTGCTGGGGTTCTCTGAATTTTCTGAATTTGGCCTGTCTTGTTACGTTGGAGAAGTTTCTCCTGGATAATATCCTGAAATACATTTTTTAATTTGGTTCTGTTCTCTCTGTCTCTTTCAGGTAGCCCAATCAGTCACAGGTTTAGTCTTTTTTGCATAATCCCATAGTTCTCAGAGGTTTTGTTCATTGCTTTTCATTCTTTTTTTTTAAATCTTGTCTGCTTGTCTTATTTTAGCAAGATAGTGTTCAAGCTCAGAATTTCTTTCCTCTGCTTGGTCTATTTGGTTATTGATACCTGCAGTTGCATTGTGAAGCTCTCGTGTTGTGTTTTTCAGCCCCATATGGTCATTTATGTTCTACTCTAAACTGGTTATTATGATTAATAACTCCTGTAATGTTTCATCATGGTTCTTAGCTTCTTTGCATTAGGTTAGAACATGCTCCTTTAGTTCAGCAAAGTTTGTTATTACTTATCTTCTGAAGCCTACTTCTGTCTCTATCTATCTCAGCCTCCTCCCAGTTCTGTGTCCTTGATGGAAAGATGTTTGACCCTTTGGAGGAGAAAGGGCACTCTGGCTTTTTGAATTTTCAGCATTTTTTCATTGATTCTTTATTATCTTTGTGAGTTTATCTAGCTTCAATCTTTGAGGCTGCTGACTTTTGGATGAGGTTTTTGTGGGAACATTTTTGTTGATGCTATGTTGTTGTTGCTTTCTGTTTGTTTTTCTTCTAACAGTCAGGCCCCTTTTTCATAGAGCTGGTGCAGTTTGCTGGGTCTCTTTCCTGGTTTGCTTTCCTGGGTCTCTCACACACCTGGAGATGTCACCAGTGAAGGATGCAGAAGAGGAAAGATGGCTGCCTCTTCTTCTTCTGTGATCTCTGTCCCAGAGAGGCTCCAACATGATGCCAGTGGGAATACTTCCATACAAGGTGTCTGGTGACCCCTGTTGAGGTGTCTCACCCAGTCAGGAGGCATGGGATCTGGGACTTGCTTAATAAAGCACTCTGGCTGCTCCTTGGTGCAGGGAGTGTGCTCCACTGGTGGAATTCCCACTCATCTGGGCTGCCCAGATTCCTCAGAGTCAGCAAGAAAAAAAAGACTAAGTTTGCTTATTCTCAGAGAACACAGTTGCCCCTCCCTGCAAGGGCTCAATCCCAGGGAGATCAGAGTTCCTCCCTAAACCCATGGCTAGAGTGACTGAAATTCCTGCAGGGAGCCCTCACCCAGTGAGGAGGAATGGGTCAGAGTCCAATCTAAAGAGTCAGTCTGGCCATGATCTGCCACAACCACTGTGCTGCACTGTGGGGAATTCCTCTGTGTACAAACCATTTTGTCTCCCTAGCATGAGAAGGGGGAAGATAGCAGACTGGAGCTGCAGTGACAGCTGCCACCCCTCCTCCCAGGAACTTGGTAGTCTTAGGCAATCTCCAGATGAATGGTCACTGAGAATCTGCTCAGCTCCATGCTTAGGACCCAATGCCCTGGTGGCATGAGCTCATAAGGAAGATCTCCTGATCCATGGGTTGCACAGATTTGTGGGGGGAAAAATGTGGTTTCCTGGGCAGGGTAGCATTATCACAAACCATCTCTCTGCTGCAGGTGGGAGCTCCCCTTGCCCTAAGTGGCTCCCAGGTGGACCTTGGTACCACCTTGCTTTTTCTTGCTCTTCATGAGTCACGCCAACTGCCTTGTCAGCCCCAGTGAGAGAACCTGGATACCTCAGTTGCTGATGCAGCACTCACTTGCCATTTTTATTCTTCTAGCTGGGAGTTTCGACCACAGCTGTTTCTAATTGGCTATCTTGCCCCCACCCCCACCTCTTAATACTGTTACAATTACAATAATTTGAACATGAGTCTTGATATGGACATTCAAACCATAGCACCCAGTCTACCGAAGAGCCCATTAAGTTATTATTTACTTATTTTATATTTTTATTTTTAGTATTTTTCATTGATTATTTTTGGAGTTTTAATTGCTGCGCTTACATTGCCTGTATGATTTTACATGTCTATTTTTTTTCATTAGAGTCCTTAATATATTAACCACTATTATTTTAAATTTAATGGCTGCTAATTTCAGAATCTGTGTCATGCCTGAATCAGATACTTGTAATTACTTTGTTTCATCATACTTTTATCCTGTCTTTTATCATACCTTTTGATTTTTTTTTGTAGAAAGCTAGACATGATGTATTTAGTAATAGGAACATAGGTAAGTCAGGCTTTAGTGAGAGGTTTCATGTGTTTCTAGCTTTAATTTAACTTTTATTTAATATTTTCTGTAGTTGTATGTATCAGAGGCTTCAAATTCCTCTAGGGTTCTTGATTTTGTTTCCTCTGTTGCCTTTGGGTTTCCCTAAGAATTACATTTTAAACCGTGTTTATGTGGTGCAGCTCTCTCAGTTGCAATCCATGTTTATTTCATTAGAGTCCTCTTGCTTAAGCCTCAAGTTATGGAAAAGGGGAAGCATTCTGTAATCTCATATTAAATTTTAGTCTTTTCGTGGGCCTGTATCCCTGGACTGTGGCTTTGACAAGCCTTTTTTAGTTCCTCCAAATTCGCTCAGTGAATCAGGAAGACTAGAGGGCACCCTTCTTTTCCTCAGGCCAGATAATGCTAATGTCTTCTCTTATGCAGAGCAGACTGTTTTTGTGGACAGTTCTCTGAATGTATTTCAAAGTAGTTACTTCTCTGTTCCTGTGCCAGAAACATGGAGCATTTTCTTCAGGTCTTCACCCTAACAACCTGGTCAAGTCCTGGAAGTAAAATCCATAAATGTGGTGATCTCTACTAAAAATGAGCTGTATATTTAGTAGTTGGGAGCTTTTGAGTATATATTATTTTAATAAAAGGCTTAATATCACTGAAATAAAATATATATTTACTAGTAAATTTATAATTTATAAAACTGATGGTACCAATCATTGACAATGATAAAAATTGAAATTTTGAAAAAATTGTTGATGAAAATTTAAATCCATAAACTTATTTGGTCAATTTGTCATCTATCACAATACATATCTATATAGTATTAATAAATTATATGAAAAATCTATTCCTGTACAATAAAAATTAGTGTACATGTACATCAGAAGACGTCAAAGAAAGTTCAGAAAAGCACAGCTTCTAATATCTAGAACTTAAAAGGAACCTAAAGGCCTATCGACAGTAAAATTAATAAATAAACCCTGAAACAACTATAGAATGTAATGGTATATAATAATGAAAATGAAATAAAACTATGGATACAGGCGAATCTTACAAATGTAATATTTAACAAAGTAAACCAGTCATGAAATAATACATTATATAATATTCCATGTATGTAAAGTTTTTTAAAAATATGAAAAAACCCTGAAAGATAGAAATGAAAATGTTAGTTAAGGTAGGGAACAAGAAAGGCCACATTGATAGACAGCAGGCATAGGGTGTCTGCTGAGATCCTGTCAGGTTTGTATTCCTTGATCTAACTGGTAGATACACTGTGTGTCTATTTTCTGACAATACATAAAACTGTCTATTTCGGTATTGTGTGCTTCTCTTATATGTTTTAACCTTCGAACCATAAGGTGAGACACCTATTTAAGAATCACTTTTAAAAAGGCAAAAGGAAAAATTTCATAGCAGATCACAGTGCATTTTAATCCTTTTCATAAGTCCAGTGATTTATGGGTCTATAAGCTACACTATGGAGACCCCACATATAGCTGAGGGGAAATTATTGGACAAAGAACTTTTAAATGCATACGGGGCAAAAATCACAGAGACAGTGGAATACAATTTAGCATAAAGGATTTGACTCTCTATGTACCCCCACATTGGTAATTTTTAGAGAAATTCAGGTTTTATATATAAGATAAATATAGTCGTCAACTCATTATAAGGAGAGATTGAATTTTTGTCTGCTTGTTTTGCAATGAACTTCAATGAACATTTAAGTAACTTGCTTCATAAACAGAATGCAAGTGACAAACTACTTAATTTAAGAATTTATTTATCAGCTGAGCATAGTGGCTCACAATTTGGAAGACCAAGGCGGGCATATCACTTGAGGTCAAGAGTTCAAGAACAGCCTGGCCAACATGGTGAAATCCTGTCTCTACCCAAACTATAAAAATTAGTTGAGTATGGTGGCATGTGCCTGTAGTCACAACTCCTTGAGAGGCAGAGGTAGGAGAATCACTGGAACCTAGGAGGCAGGGGTTGTAGTGAGCCAAGATGGTGCCACTGCACACCAGCCATTTGAGAGTCTGTCTCAAAAAAATAAATAAATAAATAAGGAAAGAAAAAAATTACTTATCATGATAGTTCAAGATGATGCATTAGTTTATGATTTTGTCTTGGATACTTTCACAAACACAAAGTCAAATGGGAAAATTAAAGTTATTTGGGAAATTATATTTTAAAAGCCACATTGTTCCCCTTTTCAAATACTCCTAAAACCTGCTAAAACCTATCAGCCTCTTTCTTAGATTTACCAGAACATTTTAGGCATTTATAAAAGTAGTTAGTACAAGGTTCTATAAATATTGGTTTAGGGGTAGGTCTCTTCAGTTTAATAACTTATTTAATTAACCACCATCGATGGCATAGTGTATATTTTTCATTTGTATTCAATAAAAATTTGTTAAACATCCTATAAAAAATATTTCATTTGACTTCATTTTCACCCAGTCTTGCTGATTCTCTCACTATTCAGTTTTACTAATAAGAAATTTAAGTTTAAAGGTTCTCTCCTTTGTTCCATTAATTAGACCCTTTTAGGAAAATGTGTTCAAATTGACAAGCGCAATAATGAAATATAAAAAGTGTGTAATCAGCAACTTTCCACTAACTCGGTCATCTTTTGACACAAAATAAGTTAACTGCTCACACTCATTAAATTATATTAATTCAAAAAATACAAGAGGCTTCTCTGTCCATTCGAAACATTTCATCTTAGCATATAGTTTAGGGACTAAGGCAACACAAAGGTCACTAGTGTAGTTCAGTGGTATAGTGATAAATGGTTAACAGTCAATTATTCATTAGGAGATTCGTAGCATCTACTGATTTATAAACTACCCCCAAAGTTACTTATTATAAAGCTATTCATATGATTTTTTGTTTGTTTATTTTTTAAGACAGAGTCTTGCTCTGTCACCCAGGCAGGAGTGCAGTGGCACGATCTCAGCTCACTGCAACCTCTCTCTCCCAGGTTCAAGCAATTCTCCTGCCTCATCCTCCCAAGTAGCTGGGATGACAGGTAGGCACAAACACACTCAGCTAATTTTTGCATTTTTAGTAGCCACGGGGTTTCACCATGTTGGCCAGATTGGTCTCAAACTCCTGACCTCAAGTGATCCACCTGCCTTGGCCTCCCAAAGTGCTGGGATTTAGGCATGAGCCTTCATGCCTGGCCTATTTATGTGATTTTATAAAACACAGAGTTGAACAGAGAGAGGCAAAATTGCTCTTCAGAGGACACCACTCCAGCCTACCACTATCTATAAGTTAAAAAAAAGTCACAGGTAGGGTGATAGATAAAATAAATATCTGTTACATTTTTCCAACTTAGATTTCACATTAAATGACCATATAAAAATTTATATTATATATTAAATATCATTTTTCTGTGAAACTAGTATTTGAAGTTCATGTCAGAGGGATTATAAATCTAATAACTTAAATTCTCTTAACAATTTCATGTTTGTTTGACAAAGAGGCAAATGGCCTGAAGTGAGAAAAGAATCTTCATATTATATAAGGGTACATATAAAAATATTGGAAAATGGCCTCAAAAAGCAAAACACTTCATTAGTCTTTCCTTCAACAACTCTTTTCATAGCTGTAGCCCTGTTTCAAATATCTTACATGAGTAGTCTAGGATAAAAATGAATTTAAGTGACAAAATAGCATTTTAGTATGGATTGTTCCTGGGTTTACATTTTTATTACTGTTCTTCATTGTCTAGTGTAGTACATAAACATATATTTTAATATGCATTTGACAAAATATTGTAGAGATATTTTGAAGTGATTTAAAGACTTTGTTTTTACTAAGAATGCTCTGTAGACATACAAAATCTATTTATTAACAAATAGAGCATTCTCACATCTTCTGTTATACAGATTCAGCAAATCTTTCAATTGCCCTGCATTCTCCAACGGGGATGAATTGACTTTTTGGTGGCTTCTTGTGAACAATGCATTTCTACAAGAAAGAGATGTATTTTGAGGGAGATAGTCTAGATTATCTGCAAAGCAGTAAATTTGGTTCACAGAAATTTGAATTCTCCCATAGCATTTCTTGAGTGATATGACCCTAAAGCTAAATGCAAAATATTTCACTGTTTTGAATAAAATGAAGAAAGAGTACTTGGTTGACTCTTAAAGTGTTAGTTATACTAATATAATTGTATAGTCATTTCATAGTTTTGACCATCCATATACATTATTTATTGGGTTTCTTCTTCAAATTATTTAGTTCAATAACTTTGGAGATTTAGTTTGTACTAGCACTAGGCTAGGTTCTGGGAATAAGTTCCCACAACAACAATAGATGATTTCAGGCAGAGGAAACAAGTTACCCTTTAAAAAAAGTCATGAAACATCATGATGTGCCAAAAAGAATTAGCACTTGGCACAAATTCCAATACACCAACATTTAGAAAATTCCATCTCTATCACATTAGTTACATGTTCTAACTGAGGAAAATTGCACACATGAGAAATGAATGACCATCTAAAGAGAGCAGGCCAAACTGATAATTAAGGTGAATAATTTGTGTAATAAGGTAAATTTATTTAAGGGATTTGATTACCTCTAATCATTATCTGCATGGTGTGAAATGCTCGACTTTCAATTCTGCTTTAACTAATGAAAACATCATTTTATCATAATTAAGATGTTACAATTATCTGTGTTATAGATTCTATTTTTTTAAATGTTTCAGTGTTACATAATTTTAATTTCTTATAGCAATTATTCCTATCTTTTTGAATATTAACCTATGTGTCTCTATGATATTTTGAGTATCAATCTATATTTTTTCTCTGTTATTTTCACTGGTTTTTCTTTTGTTGCTCATTTGCATATGAAACGAAAATATGAGGTAGAACAAAATCACATGTAGCTTATGAGTCTTTGTATTTACTTCTCATATCCTACATTTCTTGGAGGTATTTCTTATAAATTTATAAAATTAAGGTTATCCCATATCCTAAATTTCTTGGGGCTATTTATAAGAAAAAGCAAGCAAGAAAGACAGAAGGAGAGAGAAAGAGAGGGAGGAAGAGAGGAAGGGAGGGAGGGAGGAAGAGAGAAAGGAAGGAAGGAAGGAAGGAAGGAAGGAAGGAAGGAAGGAAGGAAGGAATATATATGCACCTATATATATGTCTACTTGAATTCATTTTTCTGTTAATTATTTTCAACTTTGGGCTCTGAAGTTTTTTTTTTATTTGTTTTGTTTGTTTGTTTGTTTGTTTGTTTTTTTAGCAAAAGATAGAACAAGGTCATGGGCATTCAATTTGCGTTACCTTAAAATTGACAATTATATTAGAACCATTAAGAATATTTTATATGAACTTAAGATTTTCACCTGGATTCACACAGTTAAAACATTTGAAATAATTTCTTAGTTGCATAATTTTAACCTTAGTCTTTCATTTAATTTTAATAAGTGCTTAAATTGATTGACCATTTAATAAGTATTTTAATATTGAAAGAAGAAGAAATCCTGCTAATTTTAAAAGAATAACAAGACCCTCAGATTATTTTCTTTGGAAAGGAAGATGGAATTGCTTTTCTCTTGATGGACTGGCTGATACAGATGTGCTTCAATTTACAATAATATTACATCCTGATAAACTCATTGTAAATTGAAAGTATTATAATTCAAAAATGCATTTAATGTATCTAATCTACCAAACATCATAGCTTAGCCTGTCCTACCTTAAACATGCTCAGAACACTTACATAAGCCTACAGTTGGGCAAAATCATCTAACATATAGCCTATTTTATAAGAAAGTCTTGGATATCACATGTAATTTATTGAATCTTTCACTGAAAGTGAAAAACAGAATGGTTGTATGGTTTCTGCTAAATGAATATCACTTTTGCACTATTGTAAAGTCAAAAATTATGAGTTGAATCATTATAAGTCTGAGGCCATCTGTAGCAGTTTCAATTACCTAAGCTAGAGAGGAAAGGATAAAAAAATAACCTCAAATCATTATCCAGTGCATACTTATATGGTTTGTCTGCCAGATATTCACATAACTGGTTGGTTATTAAGAGGTGTAGATCTCATTTTTATACTATTATAGATTATAATTGATTTATTTTCACTGTAAGAATAAATGTAATTTATGACAATAAAATTTTGATTATATCTTTATAGAGTATTAGAGATCAACCAATCTGTATTTTCTTTATAATAGGAAAGGAAATTAGAAATAAAGTTTATTTACTTGTCCAAGGTTTTTAACCACCTAGACACATTCAAAAATTCAAAATTGCATTTTCATTTTGGTATTTTTTAAGTTGCTGCAGCCAATAAATTGATTTTATGTATGGTATTATGCAGGTGTTATTTGCATATCATCTTTTCTTTTAGTACCATAATGTATGTTATAACCCTGACACATGGATTTTATTAAAGCTTGATTAATATATTTTCCCAATTCTTTATACTAGACAGCAAAATTAAATAAATTTGTTGAATATATTTCCTGTACATTGCAAAAGCAGCATACTAGCTTTACCCTAATCCCTCCTCCTAGGCTTACATCAGAAAAGGAAAACAGATGCAGAAAGAAAAGAATGAGTGAGAAAGGTTAAGAAAGGGGCAATAAAAATACTGTGCTCTGCTTCCACACTGCGGATACATGAATTATGAGATTAAGTGTAAACTGAGGATATGAAATAATTTAGCTAAATTTGATGTTAAGGTTTTAGATTGATAGACACAGGAAAAAGAGGACATCCAGAGGAAAAATAATTCTGGGACTGCATGAAATATATTGACAAGGTTGGATTCCAATATTTTTGTTATTATGCTCAAGGGGAACTAATAGAATGTGATTTGCAAGGTGATGTACTTCTTTATCAGAATGGGTGAAAAGTACACCTAATTTTAATTGTTATATACAGTTAAGAAGCCGAGGTCTTATACTCACTCAAATGAGATGTTGAAACTGAAATAACTACGTGTATTTGTTCATTTTTCATGCTGCTGATAAAGGCATACACAAGACTGGGAAGGAAAAGAGGTTTAATGGACCTACAGTTGCACAAGACTGGGGAAGCCTCACAGTCACAGTCATGGTGGAAGACAAAGAGGAGCAAGTTACAATGGCAGCAGGCAAAGAGTGAGAGCTTATGCAGGGAAACTCTCATTTTTAAAACCAGCAGATCTTGAGACATATTCACCATTACAAGAACAGCACAGGAAAATTCTGCCCCCACGATTCAATTACCAGGTCTCTCATACAACATGTGGGAATTAAGGGAGCTACAGTACAAGATGAGATTTGGGCAGGACACAGAGCCAAATTGTATAATTCTACTTCTGACCCCTCCTAAATCTCATGTCTTCACATTTCAAAACCAATCATGCTTTCTTAACAGTCTCCCAAGTCTTAACTCATTTCAGCACCAACTCACAAGTCTACAGTCTAAAGTCTCACCTGAGACAAGGCAAGTCCTTTCTGCCTATGAGCCTGGAAAATCAAAAGCAAGGTAGTTACTTCCTATGTACAATGAAAGTACCAGCATTGGGAAAATACTGCCATTCCAGGTAAGATAATTTGGCCAAAATAAAGGGGCTACAGGCCCCATGCAAGTCCAAAATCCAGCAGAGAATTGAAATCTTAAAGCTCCAAAATGATCTTTTTGATCCCAGGTCTCACATTCAGGTCACCCTGTTGCAAGAGGTGAGCCCCCATGGTCTTGGGCAGCTCCACCCCTATGGCTTTGAAGGGTACAGTTTCTCTCCTGACTGCTTTCACAGGCTGGGATTGAGTGTCTGCAGTTTTTCCAGGTGAATGGTTCAAAATCTTGGTGGATCTATAATTTTGGGGTCTGGAGGATACAAGCCCTCTTCTCATAGCTTCACTCCATGACGCCCCAGTAGGGACTCTGGAGGCACAACCCCATATTTTCCCTCCTCATCATGCTAGCAGAAGTTCTTCATGAGGGCCCCACCCTGCAGCAAACTTCTGCCTGGGCATTCAGGTGTTTTTTTCATATATCCTCTTTAATCTAGGTGGAAGTTCCCAGACCCCAATTCTTAACTTCTGTTCACTCACAAACTCAACACCACATAGAAGCTGTGAAGGCTTGGGGCTTCAACCCTCTGAAGTAACTGCCTGAGCTCTGTGTTGGGCGCTTTCAGCCGTGGCTAGAGTGGCTGGAATTCAGGGCACCAAGTTCCTAGGCTGCACACAGTATGGGGATCCTGGTCCCATCCCATGAAAGCATTTTTTTCCTCCTAGGACCCTGGGTCTGTGATGGGAAAGGCTGCTGCAAAGGTTTCTTACATTCCATGGAGACATTTTCCCCATTGCCTTAGTGATTATTTTGGTTCTTTGTAACTTACGTAAATTTCTGCAGCTGGTTTGAATTTCTCCTCAGGAAATGGGCTTTTATTATCTATCGCACTATCAGGCAGAGAATTTTTTGTAATTTTAGGCTCTGTTTCCCTTTTAAAACTGAATGCCTTTAACAGCACACACATCATCTCTTGAATGCTTTGCTACTTAGAAATTTCTTCTGCCAGATACCTTAAATCATCTCTCTCAAGTTCAAAGTTCCACCAATTTCTAAGGCAGGGGTAAACACTTCTAGTCTCTTTGCTAAAATATAACAAGAGTCACTTTTGCTCCAGTTTCCAGCAAGTCTCTCATTTCCACCTGAGACCATCTTAGCCTAGACTTTATTGTCCATATGGCTATCAACATTATAGGCAAAGCCATTTAACAAGTTTCTATGAAGTTCCAAATTTTCCTACATTTTCCTTTCTTCTTCTGAGCTCTCTAAACTGTCCCAACCTCTGCCTGTTTACCTGGTTCTAAAGTCGCATTCACATTTTCAGGTATCTTTTCAGCAGCACCCACTCCTGGTACCAATGTATTGTATTAGTCTGTTTTCTTGCCACTGCTAAAGACATACCAGAGACTGGGAAGAAAAAGAGGTTTAATGGAACTACAGTTACACATAGTTGAGGAGGCCTCACAATCATGGTGAAAGGCAAGGAGAAGCAAGTCACATCTTACATGGTTGGTGTCAGGCAAAGAGAGAGTTCTTGTGCAGGGGAGCTCCCATGTTTAAAACATCGGATCTCATGAGACGTATTCACTATCCTGGGAACAGTAGAGGAAAGACCTGCCTTCAAGATTCAATTATATCCCACCATGTCCCTCCTGCAACACATGGGAATTATGACAGCTACAAGATGAGATTTGGGTTGGGACATAGAGCCGAAACATGTCACTATATAAAGCCAGTTTTCTCAAAAACTTAGCTTGCCCAGTATAATAATGGGCTAGAGAAAAGAAAATTAAATAAAAGCATAGGGTGATCATAAGGGGACTATAGTTACTATTTAGGCCTCCACTCAAGATGAATAATATTTTTTAAAAGAGAGAGAAAAATAAAGAAAGAGGAAGGAAGAAAAGAAGGAAGGAAGGGGGGAGGGAGGGAAGGAAGGAAGGAAGAAAGGAAGGAAGGAAGGAGGGAGGGAGGGAAGAAGGAAGGAAGGAAGGAAGGAAGGAAGGGAGGGAGGGAGGGAGGGAGGGAGGGAGGGAGGGAGGGAGGGAAGGAAGGAAGAGATTTTCATCCACCTGTGGATCTGTAGTCTTGCAATCACAAATGCTTAGGATCCAAATATACATATATGTAAAAAAAAAAACAAAAGTTACGGTTAGTGATTAAGCTAAAATAAAATCAAATTGATAGTTTCCAAGGTACTTCAGAAGATGTAAATACGATTTATATCTGGAGAAACTCAGCCTGAAGATACAGCCCTCGTGATTGTTAGACATTTAGATCAGTTAAATATCAGCTAACAAAAAAGTAAAAAAAAAAATGTTAAATACATGATTAAAGACATTACAAGCTATTAACAGCAGAATTCAACTTTGACATTTTAAAATATGATATATTTGATAATGTGAACAGTATAATAGAACTATAAAAAGTTATATTGGGAAAAGATAATTGAAAAGAAATCCTTTGTGGCTAAATTTTAGTCTTCAAATAGACTTGAAATCAAAAATAGCATTACCAGGTTTAGAAAGGGCCATTATATAATGACAAAGGTTTCAATTCACTGGGAGAAAATAAACATTCTAAAATTACCTAATAAACTTGTCTCATTTCTTCATTTTTAATCAAAAGAAGGCATGTTCACTTTCATAGTTGGGGAAGTGCAAGACATTATGTTCTATAGTTTTTTCCCCAAGTTGCAGAATTCTAAGAAATTTATATTATTTTCTTAGTGTTAACTACCCATTTACAACACAGACACACATCCTATCCAGTCCAAAGTTATTTCAGAGCTTCCAACTCTGGAAATGTCCTCTGAAGAATGTGGATATTGCTTTCTTACCCATTCTGATAAAAGAAAATAAACCACCTTATTAGTTACATTCTCCCTCACCACTACCCTTGGGAGTAATAAAACAGTATAAGAATCTATTACTGTCGGATTTTTTTTCAGCTGCAAAACGTGGGATTTTGGGAAAAAAAAATTCTGAACCATTTATGTGGGATTATTTCAGCTCTGCCTCCCTCTAGATCAGTTTCAGTCCCAGCATGATTTCCCTCTAGGTTCTATGGGGCAGCAGATGCTACGGAAATTAGATAGGTATATGCTCACATCTACATGGAAATAGGA